GTGTAGGGCTGGGAGAAACGTGGTAACTTGATTAGTGATTACACCACTCTCAGTTGTCTTACACCTTATATTCTTGAGGATTGGCAGCATAATGAAATATTTTTTAGAACAAAATAAACGCGCAGACGGAAAGAAATTACGATATTATTATTGTTGACTCATTTGAGTCTTACCAATTATTAAACTTGCAGAAAGAAAATCAAGATTTGTAAGGTTGCTGTGGAAATATGGTTTTTAAACCAGAATTGATATGATCATGTAAAGCCTCAATATAACAGTTCATATTTTTTTGCAAGATACAACGCGTAAAACATTAAACGTAATGGTCAACTGTGTGCGTGACCTGTCGTCTTTTGCTGTTGGCAGTGCGCTATAGAATCAAGATATTTTCTATATTTATGATTTCCCAGAAGTTTCAAGTAGTTTTTAGTTTTGAAACTATTTAACATTGCTTTTTAAAACACAATACTTGTGCTTTCTCAAGTATTTAGCGAATTACTCTGGCCAACAGTACTTGAACAATTGGCAGTGCCAATTATTTCCGTTTGCGAATTAAGCCGAATTTGATGGATATTGACAGCATTCTGTTGAAGAAACGCAAACAGATCCACACGAAATAACATATTATATTATTCAACTAATTATTATATAACACAACTATGGTAGTTAATTGTGGAAATTTCAATCCAGATTCGGGAATATCAAATTCTACTCGACGTGGTGTGTTGGCCGAACAGACAAAGCGGATCAGACGTGGTTACGTTGTGCAAAGTTTTGAATAAATAATACATGAAATCAAAGATGTTAGTATTAATGATAAATTTCAACCACTTCTTGTTAAAAAATATCCAAACGGAATTGAGATTGGAAGTCAGAGTTCCGCGTATGCGGCAACCGAATTTAGTAGGAAATGTCGTGTTTAGACGGCCGCCATTTTGCTTCCGAGATCCCTGGGACTATTGATCGCTATATCTGGATAAAAATAAAATATTTGAGAAAAATAAAACCGATTCAGGTATTTAAAAGCTTAAACCTTCCTGGTCATAAAGTTTTAGGTGGGTTTACTTTTTACGTAAAATATGAGTGGTCGGTTTTTAGGGAGACAGCCTCTTAAGCCTGCTTCACATATATGCCTGCGACGTGCCTGCGACGTACCGGCGACGATGCCGGTGGTAGCTTAAAACGTAAATTATGTGAATATTTGTTTACCGATTGCTTCCAGTGCCTCAGTTACATCGGCGGTAGGCCGGGAAAGTTGACTTGAGTTCAACTTTGCTGATATTTCGGCGGCAAGTAGAGGTATAATGATACAGTCGCAGGCATGCCGCAGGCATATGTGAACCAGGCTTTAAGCGCGATCACTTTTATTGATTTCTTTTTATTAAAAGTGTTAACATAACATTTTATTTTGCAAAAGTTTGTTTTTCTCCTATCTACTCCTTTTTAAAATCGTGAAAAGCACTGGCTGGAGTTTCAGATGCTCATATATAAAAAACAAAGCAGCAAATGATATAAATTCCTCAAAATATAACTCTCGCATAAAAAAAACATGAATACTTCTATAATACGTATAGTTTTTTCCTCTGCATTGTCAAAATTTAATACAATATAGTGAATTAATATAATTTTCTATAGTTAATAGACTGAATATATCGGCGTGACACAATTTGCCGAGTGTTTCCTCTCTGGTATATCTCTTCTCTGAACCGAAAAACATCACTCTCTAATAAATTGTATAAATAATACTCTCTGCTAAGATTCTCTTCTGACAGATGTGTACATTCGGGGGGAATCGATGCATATATAGTTTTAGTTACCAAGATCAGTATGTTTACAGTGGCTTCCATACACTGTCACTGGTAAATAATTAAAAAGATATAATACCCGCGGATATAATTAGCAACGCCGCGTGCATGTCAATTTCAAGACTTTTCCTCTATGTATAAGGCTAGCGAAACTGCTGCCATGTTTATAAATTAGTTTCTATCCAAAAGAAGAGCCACATTTGAAACATAGTGAACAATTTTGGATGTTTTTACCGCGAAAAATTTAAGTATATACATGAACAAAGTATAGCCTATAATTAGTCGAATTAGCGAAATTTGACTATATTCATGACGCGCTTGTCAGACGAAAAACACACTGCCCAAAGATTTTATTGTTTATTCTAGTAGACGTGTCATAATACTCAGTAGCTGCAATAGATTGGATACCTGATAGCGTTGCACTTTTGAGAAAAAATAATTTGCCGCCGGCATACTAACACGAATATTTAATCCGCTGTCTGCAAGACGTTTTTAAAAAATCACAATATTTTGTTTACTTCAAGTGATCGGGATAATTTTTAGTTTAGGTCAATGCCTAGGCAGGAAATAATAAAATACATAAGTTTCAAGAAGTTAGAATAAAAGCGCAAGATGTAAGTGAGATATAAAAAGCTCAAGTATCACTTGCGTAATTAACCGTTTTATTAATAATAATAATAATAATAATGATGATGGTGGTGGTGGTGGTGGTGGTGGTGGTGGTGGTGGGTTGGTCAGTAGTGGTGGTGGTGGTGGTGATGGTGGTGGTGGTGTTGGTGGTGGTGGTGGTGGTGGTGGTGGTGGTGGTGATGGTGATGGTGATGGTGATGATGATATCTCCGTTAAGACACTTAAACGAGGACATCTTATCGCGGATGCGAACACATTGTTTCCTTCTCGTCAAAAAGGCTCGAATCCATCCCACTACAGCGGGGCGTACATTCAATTTCTCTAATTCAGCAACCAGGACACCGTGATCAACTAAATCGAAACCTTTACTAAAGTCAGCGAAAAATACGCGAGCCGAGGAACGACCTCGGTCAAGGGTCTCCAGAACATTATTTAATAAAAAGACTAATGCTTGTGTTGTAGAACGGCGTTTCATCGACGAAGGTCGTCCTCGATTGTCTTGGGCGGCATACACTTAAAACAGTAGCGATATTTTATATTTATTTAATTTTATATTTTGTTATGTCTTGTCTGAAAGTCATTGGCTGGGCATACACTTTTGATGACTTTAGTCATTCAGGGATTTTTCCTTGTCTCAAAGTACTGTTATAAATATCGGACACCACTGGGGATAATTCGAAAGCAAAGTCGCGAAGTATCCTATTAGGAATTTCATCAGGGCCAACTGATTTATGACATTTAACTTCCTTCAAGGCACGATACGCTTTATACTGGTCAACGAGCATATCGGGTGGGCATTCGGCTTGATAGTTCCGATCGACTTCAAGGGGTTGGAAATCTGATGATAAATTAACGAAAAAACTGTTAATGTTCTCAGCTAGTTCCTCTATTGTACCGGTTGCCTCACCCATTAGTTGCTCACACCATTCCGTTTTGCTAGAACCATAGCCAAGTTTTTTAATTTCTTTCCACCATTTAGACACATCATAGTCTTTCATATTATGTACTTTATTTTTGTAATAGGACTCTTTTCACGATATTATCTCAGCTTGGACTTTGTTACGCCAAAATTTAAAAGAATGGAAATACTTCCCATACCTGACGAAAGATGTTTGTCTCTTTGATATAAATTGTTTTAACTTGTTCGACACCCAAGGTTTATCATAGACGCTGATTTTTTGCTTTTTCAAAGGGAAGTATGAATTAATAGCATTCATTATTAGTTCATAAAAGATATTAAATTTACCTTGGCAATCGTCCTCATTAAAAACACCACTCCATGGATCATTGCATATCCATCTACCAAATGCTCGCACATTACTATCCTTCATTTCCCTCTTATACACATGCCTTTCACGGATTACAGAATTTGGGACACTTGGGTTAATAAGTATCGGAAAGTGGTCGCTACTACCAATATTTGGGAGTTGCACTGGTTCGTCGAAGAGTTTGGGTTTATTTACGAGGCACTAATCTAATATGTTGTTTCCTCTTGTGGGTACTTTTACCAGTTGTGTCAAACCACAGCCCCTTGCGAGGGTAGATTTAACAAATATAAAACATTTTCCGTGTTGATATACAGTTATATCAACACGAGTGGAAATTGGGAAAACGAGAAATTGTGTGGAAACACGACGCCCGCAGGGCGGAGTGTTTTCACACAATTTCGAGTTTTCACAATTTCCACGAGTGTTGATATAACTGTATATCAATACGGAAAAAATGTTTTATATTTGTTTTATAATATAGCACAAAGAAATCTAAAGTACAACATTGAAATAGCTTTTTATTTATGCTACAATTTATGAAATAAACAAGCAAGAAAACATAGCAATCAGCGAGGCGAAGCGATCTCTAGTCTTTGTCAACTTCTCGAGCTGGATTTACAGTGAGATTCACAGTGCCGATCGAACAAGACGAAAAGATGTTGTCAAAGCTGGATCTGTGGTACATTGAGGTATTTTGAGACGTTGATGTTACATGGGAAAACACTTGAGCTGGCTGTGGGTCATTAAAATCAATTTGTAAGCTGGCATTTGAGGATATGAGCGATCTGGTGAGAATGTCACTGCTTTGTCGAAGCTGTGTTGAGGATGGACGCGAGTTACAACTCTTCAGCGACTGTTCATTTCGGTGACCTGAAACGGCCATAATGTGGCGGTTTTCAAGACCTGCATCGGACCAAAGAGTAATCGCGGTGGCTCTCACACAATGGTTTGTGTAGATGCTCGAGAGTTCGGCTTCCTCGCTAATTTCTCTCATCATAACACCCAGCTTATTTACACCGAGTGGCCGATTTTCGTACCAAACACTGTCGCTTGGGGACCACTTTCGCTTCGGAAACTGGAAGAATGCTGAACAGTGTGGATTTAACTTGGATATATAAAGCTCCAAGGCATTGTAGCCGTCGCTGGGGTCGTCTGTAGCACGGTACATCCTGCCGTCTTTTTCAAAACTTTCCGTGTCATCAAATCCACCGGGATGATTTTTTGACAACTCGTCGTGGGTCATAGTCGCATACTGACGGGAATTTTCGTCAACCGCATAGGTAAAGCTGGACGGTGTTAGGTTTCGTTGGCCTTCTCTACCTCGTCGACACCAATATAAGGTTGTGTGGAACCAAACATTTCTCAAGAGACCGAGGGGAGTCGAGGCGGAGATTACTGGACGAACTCTCAGCTTTTGAAGGTCTGGCGTCGTTATGGCAGGTTTGTGCTTTGTATTTTGTTTCCCGAGTTGCTTTAAATTTTTAATTTTCGCATCGAGTATCATGTTGGACTTCATGAAGGCAGGATTTTTAGAAAATTTGATTCCTCTGTTGTGAGGGGGGTAGTTTAAATGCCGCTCAATGCCGCTTCTCAAGCCGAGTAGGGTTGACTTTCCGTAGTTTTCGCCGGTCTTGTTTCTCACTTCTGCATAGAAAACTCTCAGGTTTTGATCAAGCTCTTCCTCGCTTTGTTCATGAAGCTCTTTATTTATGTTTCTTTGCAGGGCCCACTCTGAAAGACAACCATAATATATAAAAACCTGATTACTTGGAGAGGTGTAAACTTAAATTTAAAGTTCAAGCGAACTAACCTTTGTAAACAGAGACAGCGAAAGCAGTGCTGTATTTCGTCCTTTTGGAGTGTGCTGCTTCTAATAATTCGTCTAAATCGCTTGCTTCTAAATTTGCAAACCTTCTGGGGTTTTCTGCATCGCCTCCAGTGCCAAAAGGTTGAAAATTGGCCATTTTAAAAACTTTTTACTTAAATTTTGGGAATACGCTTTTCAATTTAAAGAGCGGCGGGAAATTTCCCGTGTTGACATTGAGTTATGTCAACACGGCTCTTAGCCAATCAGCGTCCAGAATTTACAATTGCTATATTATAAAGAGATATATTAGTACTGTTAGGGTTAAAATCACCGGTTAGAACTATCAAGGCATCCGGATACTTGTCGAGAAGGGCATCAACGTTTGAATTTGCATGTTCAATCAGTAACTCATTATCTTTGGCCTTAGCTGACGGGGGGTGATAAATTACGCCGATTAGAATAGTTGAGGTATAGCGTGGAAGGCGATATGGTTTTAGATGGATCCACAAAGTCTCGAGACCTGTTAGTTCAAAATTAGTCAGTCTTTCTGCTGGAATCGAATGATAAACATAAGCACATCTTCCACCGCCTATACTTTTGCTACAATGTGATCTATCCTTCCTCATCAAAATAAAGTTAGGAATGTTAACTGCTCTGTCTGGTACTGCGTTAGTTAGCCAGGTTTCAGTAATTGATATAACATGGGCACTGTTTAGCTGGGCAATAACATCGAGTTCGTCAATAATAAGATCTCACATTGGACATTAATATAGGAGGAAGGCTACCACTTGGCAATTTTTCACGCGTATTACATAGAGGAATTAAGTTACATCGGTTAATACTTCTAGTTGGAATCTTTTCATAACTTTTTATTCTGTTGGTTCTCTGGATTATGTGAAGTGTGATGGGACTAGTGGGTGGGATATTAGTGGTCGTAATTGCTGTCGGTTTGGCGGCATCGCCATCAGTGGGTATTGGTTCAGATCCATTGGAGTGGGGTTTGTTGAAATCTGGTTCCAACTACATCGAATCTCTGCAGACCTAACTCCACTTGTTTCAGTATCGACTTGATACTTTGCAGCGGTTCTAAAAAAGTCAGGTTTTCGTAATGATTGGGATAATGACGTTGTTGAAAATGGTTGGTTTTGTGGAAAAAATCGCACTTTGGGCCTATTAAGCAACTTCCCTTCCTTTCCAGGAAGGGGCATGGGATCAAGTGCTTGGGTTTTGAAAATATCTCCTGTTCTTTGCTATTCCGTTCCAGATTCGAATGGGAGAAGTCGAACGCGTCCGAAAATAATTGCGAAAAAAAAATTAAAAATTTTAAAACTGATTACGCTAAAGATATGTATGTTCAGGAAAGCCTTTGCGATAGATTAAAAGTTACACGATTTTTGAATATTTAAATGTATCGTAATTGTATTTATGAATTGTTCGAGGCACTTGTTGATTGCTCTCTATGATAAGAATGTATTTATATTAATTTAAAGTATATACTGTTGGAAAATGTAACGAATGAATGAATAAATCTGCTTGGATTTGACCACTGGGAATCCAGCCATAACTTGTGTTGTCTGATTATTTCAGGAATTTAAGCTGAAAGTATTTTATGTTCGGTTGAACGCAGTGAATAAGAACGTAACACTTCTTTCGTCATTTTAACAGAAACGCAGTTAAGGTCAGTTATGAACAATGTCGATTGTCGAGTCACCAAACAAAATGTGCATGTGTGATATATATCTCGACAGAGGAACGATAAACTCTGGATATTGGAGGTTCAATGGAGAGTTGAAGCACGCACGCCAGTGAATCAAAACATTTTATCATTGCATCTATGGTATAAAAGTTAGATTTTCAATACGTTCTTTTTAGGTGTCGTGATGGGGGCAAAATATGGAGAGCTATCAGAAATGACTCGTGTTGAGTACGAAAATTTGGTTACAACGAATACCAGGATAGAAGAGTCCGCCAAATTTTCCGCTGTTATAACTTCCGGTTCGTCGTCAAGCCTTACAGAGACAGAACGGAGAGAGGGTGAAGCGTTTAAAAAGGCCACTAAAAGTCAGAAAATCTTCTCTTTTGGCGCCAAGCCACCAACAGATGGAAGTGCTGTCACCTGGGCTAACAGCGTGTTCGAAAATCCAATGCCTCTTGCTTATACCCTAAAAACAATCGACGAAGTTTTGACGGACAAGCACATTGACGAAAATGCAGACCTCAGGTAATTAGACTATAATTCTATATTAAATTTGATGATCGTCGTCATCATATGGTGCATGATTTAGAGTGTATTATATCATGCATCTCCATGGGGTAACAGTGGTACAAGTGTTACACAATATAGCTTTATGGTAAAGATAGGGAATAGAGTGATATTAATAGTTCAGTAATATATAGCAGCGCCAAGAACAACAGAAAAAGAGAAAATCAAAGGTATCTTTAGCTTATAATAGTAATTAGATGTACAGATTGTATTTAATAGTAAAAAGGCATCAAACATAGTATTATCCTGTAAAATGATAACACGAACATACATCCATCGAATATACTTCGTGAAACAACGTGAATTTACTTGGCCCTGGAGCCGATTGTTCGAAAGGCGTTTAATTTGCGTTGCACAAAGCCCGTTTCGCGCTATCCACCGGCAGGTGGATAGCGCTAAGGTGTAGCGAAAAGGATAAAGAAGGGGGCGGGTGTAATATCAGATTTGCCGACAACATTTCCGACGCTAATTAATATTTCCCCCCCAAAAAAAATTGTTGGCGAGCGGAGAGGGGGAGGGGAATCGCAACATTTTTTTCCGGACGTAAAAAAATTTTCCGGACACACAAAAATTTTTTGGGATATACCAAAAAATTTTCCGGACATACAAAAACTTTCCGGGATATCCCAAAAATTTTTACGGACATACCAAAAATTTTCCGGACATATAAAAATTTGTTAACTTTTTGCGTCATTTTAGTGAATTTAGCTAAATTTTTGCTAATGCTATTATTTTTTCATCCGAACCACTCTAATATTTTCGCTGCTTACGGAAACCATTTGCCGATAAAACCGTTATTTTGCCGAAAAGACGTTTTCAGGGTTTGTCGCACCCCCCCCCCC